CTCCTCTCTCTCTCTCTCTCTCTCTCTCTCTCTCTCTCTCTCTCTCTCTCTCTCTGCAATCGTAACCTCTGCTATTCCGAAGTCTCTGTTATCCAAAATTCTGACCGTACTTTCCGGAACTTTGCTAGTGAACATTCACAGTAAGTTCCCGAACGTCTTTTTCAATCCGAGTGAATGTGCTCCGGCAGTACTATCACCAGTGCTAGGACTATCACCACAACATATCCAAAAGTAAGTCGAATTATTTATTTCCTTTCGGTTTCCTTCTGTGATATCTTCGCAACCTAAACTTAACATCCACAAACTTGATAATGAATAACTCAAGAGTTAACTGCAAAACGACTAGATGTCTACGGCGGGAAGCTAAATTGCGAGCGCGAAGCCTGTTGGATCAGGCTTATCAACAATTCCTAGAGTCCATCAACCCGAGCGTCTTCATCATCGTCCGAGGACAGATCTCGCGCTCCAACAGAAGAATCCTCGGCACGCGCATCTTACATACCACCGCCGCGAATTCCAATGCCTCACGCACCGTCTCCCGAATTTCCGCCGCGAGACTCAACGCCTCGCACTCCGTCCCCTGTTTTCCGCAGAACCTCCCCTTCACCCTCGCGAGTCTCGACCTTTCGCACTCTGTCACCTGTCTCCTCTCCCTCACTTTCGCGGGCCTCGAAGCCTCATGTTCCGTCGCCACCTCACCCACAAGCCCCACCTTCACCAGTTCCATGTCGAACGTGGAATTCATTGGAGAGGTTTCCACCGGTACCGCCGATAGTCTTCGAAAAGAAACTTACGTTCCAGGACATCCTCTCCCAGTCCCTATCTCCACCGAGACTCTTCCTCCGGGATCATTTATAGGCTCCGAATCCATTGACTTAACCACACTCCGAAATTAACTGTGAATCGCCCTGACGACATCATCGTAGCATACATCTCCGGAGTTCCTTATTCATTTTTAGTCCTTGTCCGATACCTCTACAGAATGTTCACCTTCAACCATGACAATCCGCGAATTCGATTAATAAATCCATCAAATCTTCCTTCCATCTCCAACACACACACACACACACACACACACACACACACAGACACACACACACACACACACACACACA